GAATTACCATTTCTAGAATCTACTCGGCAAATCAGAAGTTGCGAAGCGTATTAATTTACGAATGTTAAAAGTATCCCTCGTTAGGCCTGCGGCAAGGGGGTTAGGGTGAACTACCAGTCGTGAGTGATAGTTGCTGTTTATCTGCTGTATTGACTCGTACACTGTAGAGATGCCAAGATTATGATGTAGGACGTTATTCGGAATAAACCATGGGGCGTCAGCGCAGATACGTAATATTTTTGATTGAAACCTCTGAATCATATTTAGATTTGACGTCGCTGCTATACCCTAGATGGGTATACCGTATGTCCAGATTGGCTTTAGGACGACCTTGTATAAAAGTATTTTATTTTGTAGTGGTACGGCTAATATATTTATCACAGAAAGGCAATGTTAAAATTGCCGTTTAGTTCAATCATTTTCATTTTCATTCGAATTATTATTTCGATAGCTATTGATACAAATTCGGTTTAGTTCAGCTTTTACTTCACAAATTTAAAAACGTTATGTGGGGATCACATAATATCTGCTGTGATTGTGGTATTCTTTGTCAAAAACTATATATTGCGTTGCCAACGGCTCTTTAGTAACAAAAATTAATTGGAGTATTTGCAACATGCAATTGTGCCGCAGGGGGAAGCAAACCTTGTATGACATATGCTATAAAAGTTATTAGAAATACTATTTGTTTGCTTTCATGGTAAAGTTTATTAATAAACACTTGAATACAAATCAAAGTATTCCAACCCTAGTTATTAAAATTATTACTAGTCTGTTATTTGATAAAAAGTTATTTAAATTCCTCACATCGCAATGATTGTTGCATTCTGGTGGCACGATGTTGTGGACTTGGTGTCATACTATTCATATATTCCACATAATAAGAAAATTAGCTGCAATATATCTTACCAGACCTCAAGTCATTCCCATGATATTATTTATCCAGTTCAACTTATCAGCGATCTACTTAATAATATGAGGTACAAGCCTCCACAACTTCAGGCCCTTTATCTGGACGACATCGTCCGAGTATCTCCTGTAATCTCACTTTACAATTGTGGTTAGAACAACCACAATTTACTCTTATTCAGTAATTATTACCTAGTAAGAACATTCCTCACCCTTCTTTCACTTATTTACAAACTTATAATGTCGAAATAATGTCCTCTCTTGACAAAAAAAAAAAATGACGTCCTGCAAGTCTTTTATTATGCCTGTCCTGCTATATTGTACAGAAGCTTGGACAATTACCAATAGTGATAAGAAGGCGTTAGGAGCATTCGAGAGAAAAGTTCTTCGAAAGATCTATGAACCCTTACGCGTTGGCGACGAGGATCGTATTAGATGAAACGATGAGCTGTATGCGCTATACCGCGACATTGGTATAGTTAAACGCATAATAAATCAGTGGCTTGGCTGGCTGGGTCATGTCGTGCGAATGGAAGAAAGTGGTCCGGCTAAAAAGATATTTGATTCGGTACCCGCAGTTGAAAAACGTTGTAGAGGACGTCCGTATCTTCGGTGAAAGGACCAGATGACCAACGATTTGTGGGTGATCGCAACTAATAGCGACTAATATGGCTTGCTGGCGTTAGCTACTCTACGCGGCAAAGAACGACTCACGATTGTAATGGCCAACTCATTAAGTAAGTAAAGTATTCTAGGTACTTGGATGTCTCAAACATATTGTGTGATTATAATTTTTTCTCATGTCTTCTTTTCGCGATATTAGCTACCACTTTGAATATATATACATATTTGAGTTAAGGTAAGCATCGACTGTATGGCAAATATATTGAGACTCATTTTGTGATCAATACGAATCCAATTTAGTAGAACAATTCATGTCTTGTTTCACATATTCAATTTATGACCGTTTTTGGAGTAAGAAATCCAAATAAATATAATTTAGAAGGGGAACTCCAAAATTAATATAATTGTGCTAAGGGAAATCTTGTGTTTGTATAATACTATAAATATTTACATGCCACAAATCCTTCCAATTCACTGTTTATTCTGTAATTTAACATTGTAGTGTTGTTATTAAACTATGCTAGCGGCTTCTACTGATTTGAACCACTTTAACTTATTCCTTATCTGTGTAAAAGTAAAAGTTTATTTAATTGTAAAAAAAAATTAAACAAATTATTTAAGTTGTAAGTAATTAAATGTGGGAGCACAACCACACAGCCAAATGCGTTAATCAGCTTTATTATCTTCATTTGATTTTATATCATCAACAATTTTTTTCAGTCCCTACCTAGTATTCTCACAGGAATACGTTTGCATTACCTGAACATAAAAAAGTAGAACGAACTACGAGAAGGAAAATGTGAAACTGCAAAAATCTCTAGTTAGTTTAATCGAAACACTCAATCCGCTTTTCTAATTACACAGGTAAGCGGCACAGAAGCCTGAGGACATGATGGGCCATTTTTATTGTCTTGATTTCACAGTGCAAATACTTAAATTCTTGTTTTTCTACAAAAGTTGAAAATAATGTGGGATAATGCAGAAATTATTTTATCAGGGAAAGAAATAATTTTGTGGTGTTAGATGAAGTTTTATGAAACAGATGGAATAGATGTGTATGTGCTTATGCTTCCTTCGCTGTAAAAACTATGAAGAATGATAATAATTTGTATAATTTATAAAAGCTTTAGAGAATTTATTACTTTTCCACAAATTATTTCGGATTTCTCTCAGACGACACAGATTTGATGGTACACTTAGTATGTGACATAGATCCTCTTGTTTCGTAAATATGATTTATATTCCTTTTAATAATGAAAGAGATTGCATAGTTCAGTTAAGCTGTACTTTATAATTTTATTTTGATGTGTTGACAATTGATATTATATAATAACATATGTAATAAATAATTTTAAACTATTTTACTTCGTCCCGCAACGTAAATGGATATCCGCAATTACTCCGATGCTATATAAAACTATATGAAATCATGGAAAAACATTGTTCACGATAATGAAAATGATCAAAATCTGTCGTCATAGTGCGGCGCCCCAGATACCATAATCGTGACATTTAACATATATGCACAATGCATATCCTATAATCCTGTCGACACTACATCACTACATCCCAATTGCCATCCCAATTGATATTTATTAATATTATACAAAGTTTTACTATTTACAAAGTTTTCGCTATTTTATTCACTAAATTATTTACCTACTAAGAAATGTGTTGATGTTACCACGCCGCGATAAATACTGATTTTACTTGATTTTACTTATGTGCGCTTCCTAAATACTCTTTTCAAACGAGAGTTCCTTAATTTCCTGTTTGCTTTTAAATATTTTGTGCTGCTCCCGCACACCTATTAGCAATTATTAGCAATTTCCGCTTGATCACGCTTTTCTTTATCTGGTTTCTTCCGTCTGAACAGGTGGCTCTCTACTTTCCTCATCTCCCAATATTGTTCCCGCACGGCTCGTTTTGCTGCAGAGGCCCCTACAAAAGGACCCTGTAAGGAGTGGGCGACACTCCTTGTCATACCATTGGTTTTGTCGCGACGGACGTTAGAAATCATGGACATCTGGTTTCGCGATTGATCGGAAGATAGCCATGTTGTCTTATGAGTATCACTGTATGGGAAACTGGTACTACTTACTACCATATTCCGCGCCGCAGCGAAATCAAATCTGCCGACCTTTGCATTAAAATCCCCAAAAACAATTTTAAAATCGTGGGCGGGTCTGCGGTCATAAATTTCCTTCAATGGCGTGTAGAAGGTATTTTTGGTTAAGTCGTCCTTTTCTTATGTCGACGCATAAGCGCAAATTAACGTGATCTTAAAAAATTTTCCCTTGACACGGATTCTAGCAAGCCTTTCGTTCACCGCTGTGAATCGCTGGATTGATTTTGATAGTCGCTTGCTTACCACAAAATCGCATCCAAATTTAAGCCTATTTGCAGGACAGCTGTAGTATACATCACAGTTTGCATTTTTAGAGCAGTCTTGTCCTATCCATCGTATTTTATGGATGACGGTAACGTCAGCCTTACATTAAGGGCTTCTGCTAGTTGGATAGGGGCACCTTTTCCATAGAGGGTCTGGACATTCCGGAAATGCATATCCGTAAATCATAGTACTTTAAGCGTTTGGATGGGTAGTCAACATTAGAGTTCCAGTTTTGAGACATCTTTACGTCATGCACTGGCGACTGAATTTGCGTGACGAGTGCCAAACCCCGTGCACAACTCAAATTTAAAGTTCTAGGGATGAGATTCGCTGTACGCACTATTAGCTCATTATCCAGCGGGTCCCAGATAACTATCCAAGGCTACCACGTGAAGACTGTTTGACAACTTGGATTGAGGACAACAAGGATTGCACTGACATTTTCCATGTGATATGCAATCAGCCGTGTGTACTCGCTTCCAGAGGCACACAAGTCTCCCAGGTATTAATAGAAATATATGAATAACTAAACTTAACCATTTATTACCACAACTTAATCATTTTTCTATTCCATGTAATTTGCAAACAAACGAAAGTTTTTTTACAGCCTTTTTGACATATCAAAGTTCTAACAATTGCATAAATTAAATCATGATAGTGTGAACGTTCAGCTTTTGAACATATTAATAGAAATGAATGAGTGCTTAATACTGGATTTACATGATAGTTATGTTTGTAATTTTAGCTGTCATGTTTGCAATTTTAGCTGTCTATTGTTGTTGCTTTCAATGCAAAATGAAAATTTTTGATAGCTGAAATTACAAACAAAACTCTAGTGTAAATCCAGTATAAATGAGGCACTGTGAACATGCTACTAATTATGTATTAAAATGAATCAGATTTTTATTTTTACATTACCCAATGTTTATTTATATAAGATGTATTAATAAATTATTGATGTATTCACACATCTACAATACATACAAAGAGAAATTTTTATTCTCCATGTATTGCTTACAAATTTTAACTAGTTTGAAACGTTATTCAACACTTATTTTTGGATTGACAGTTATTGAGAGCAAAAAGTGATAGGCAAGTTATTGATTAAAATTGATTAAAATTTTCAAGTTTTTGTTTTGTAAGAACTAATAAGTCAAATATGTGTGAATCGGAAGAATCCGGAACAGATAGTGCTAATGATGATAATGATGATAGTGTACATGAACTACTCAAACAGCTATGCCGCAGTATGGCTAAAGCAGAAAATATATTAGAAGAAAGAAATATCTGCAAGCTTAAGTCCAAATGCATTGAAATATTGAAAAACTTTCAATTTCCAAATAAGGACAGTATAGATATTAATTTTGACCACATTCTCAAACTGGACGCTCGTATGTTTGCAGCAAAACTGATCTTCAAAAAAAATCCGCTGAAATTGCAAAATATCAAAGATATAGAAACAACATTAGAATCCATTGATAAAGTGGATTATTTTGTAAATGGTCCAGGAAAAGATGTTGTAAAGTTTCTTTTGTTATTGGAAAATGAATATAAGGTAACATTTTTCAAAATCGCTGTAAGTACCATTTATTTAATGATTTAATGTTTAGTATGCAAAGTCTCAACCATCAATGCTAGTACCTGCACCTTTCACTCTGTTTGGAGATTTTAAGGATAATAAACATTACCCTGAGGCCGCTTTGAAATGCTCATATAATTTAAAACCACGTTTTTTTAGGGGTGTTGAAAAAATTACATCTGCGAATAATCCTTACATGCCGAAGTTAATAGCAAGTTACATACAAAATAAGATGTCCTTACAGCTCAGTAATTACAATGCAGAAGTCTCAGGAGAAAAACCAACGCTTCAAACTTTGGATATGACGAATCGGGAGTATGGTTTGAAATTTAAAGACTTTGATGTATTGAACAATTTTAAAGATAAAGAAATCGTAAGTGATTCATGCAAATGAATAAGTGGGTCTAAATAATTGTTTTTCTTATAACTATAGATTGGAAATGAAGCAGTCAAAGCTTGCAAATTGCCAATACTGACGGAAACGATTTGTAAATTAGGACCGATCACAGAAGATATATATGATATTCTTGCACGGATCTCTGAAAGTTTTAGTGATGTTGGTGTAAGCAAAGAAAAATTCGTCAAAGTATTACTAGATTTGAAGTGTTTACGAAATGAGTATATTAGAAATAGCTGTGTTGCTAATAGTGTTCCTCTTCCGCAATTTCTAAACAATGTTAAACTATTAATTGGTAAGTGAAGTGCAAAATATAATAATAGAACTAAAATTTATAGATATTTTTTGGGTAGTTGGTAAACAGTCGGATATATTTAAGCTCAATGATGTACACGTATTTGATATGGTTGCAGATGTTACAACTGAAAATTTATTGCCAGGTACAATACACAGTTATATTGAGCCTTTTTTAGAGAGCGGTACTGCTTACAGACGTTTAGAAGCAATCTATCTTGCCAAAAATGAATTCCATGGTTTTCTGTTTAAGGTAAGATAAAGTAAATCTCACACAATACAAAAGTAAAATGAAATGATATATTAAATGTATTTTTAAATATATTTTTAATTATTTATTTAATTTTAAAGGCTTTTAGTGTTGCTTTAGATGAATATTTAATGGCATTCCGTCATCTCGTATTTTCTGTTGAGGATCAGTCTTTGTTGAGTTTCCAAAACCGTATGCGATATATTACAAAATATATAGTACGCTTCACAAACGCTTTGATAATGAAACCAAGCAGTAAGTTCTTCATACTTATATCATTTTAAATGTTTTCTTTAAAATTAATTTAATAAAATATTAACAGAGTCTCCACCCATGGGTCAAAAGTTGCTTAGCTTTTTCTGCAATGAATTAGGACGTCATACGGATGTGAACTTCAATGCAATTCTTATATTTTTCATTAGACGCCTATGCCATGTTTATTTCAAGTATGTTATTTCAAATATAACTATGCCATGTTTATGTATATATATATATAAGTTGAATTACTTTTAGTAATTTTTTTTTTCTTGTAGTCAATTAGAAAAATGGATATTTAAAGGCGTTTTAGATGACACTTTCAATGAGCTATTTATACGTGATATAACGCATTTTAAATTTCAGACGAAATACTATTACAATAGGGTTTATTATGTAAACCCAAACAGTGTACCTGATTTTTTGCAAAATTATGAGAATCTTATTTTGCAATGTGGAAAATATTCGAATTTACTTAGAACATATAAACCAACTGTAAGTATTTATACTAAATAGTATATTTAGTTTGACTTTATACATATTGCATATCCTCTTTTCGTATAAAAAGCTAATTAAAATAATACGATACTGTAGTATGTTCAATACATTTCCTTGATTCAAAAAATATAGAGCTTGAAGATCTTTTCTAATAAAAAAACAAAAATAAATTAAGACATAAAGACATTATGTTGTACAGAATGGTCTCATATAAATAAATTATTATTGTTATTAGAAACAAGAAGGGATTGTGGACTGCGACCTAAAAGATCTATTGTACCCCTTACTCGAGTTAGAGTGGTTTCTCCAAGTACGATTTTTTTAATGAACGACAGTATAGAGCCTACCTTTCTTAGTCTTGAATCTTTATGATTCATAAAATACCCTCCTAGGTGTTTCTTCCGCTTGGACATCAGTGTCAGGCATTCCTTAAGCACATGGTATGCAGTTTCTCTCTCTTCTCTACAGTATCTGCAGTCTGAGTTGGATTGAATTCCTAACTTTGATAGGTGATTCTTCAATCTACAGTGACCGGTCAATAATCCCGTAATAGTTAGTAGGTTGTTTCTTGATTGTGCTATGCAATCTTTGAAGAGTTTTAGGTTGTAATTCCCTACCACCATTTTAGATTGTGTGGTAACCTTTCCCAATAGAATTCTCTTTCTTTTTCCTCTGCACCATTCATAAGAATGTATAGAATTCCTTTGCCTAGACCACAGAATGGTTCCGGGTCTATCATTCTTGAGGCTGCGCCTTCTCTTGCAAATTTGTCTTCCGAGCACAAAAAAAAAGATCTTAATATTGCACCATGGTGACCCTCGTTTTGACTTAGTTACTTTAGAATGACATACTTAGTTACCAATAAAATAAAAAATTTAAATTTAATTACTGTAAACACTAAAAATTACAAATTTAAAAATTAAAAACTAAAATTTAAATTAATATTATTACAATATTATATATAATTATATATTAATAATTAGAAAGTGAAATATTTAAATATTAAGCTCTGCGACTTAATCTACGACTTAAAAACAATTGAATATATATAAAGATTCTATAAAGAGGTTTTTTCGAACAGTAGTGAAATACAACAACAAAAATTTATTTTTTATATTATTTTAATTAATTGAATTTTTGGCTGACCATACAGCTGTTTCGAGTATTGCCAAATACCCATCATCAGTGGTCTTGGAAATAATTCTTATATTTAATTATTCGTAAATAATCATTTTTTGAGACTGCAAGTACCAGGAATCGAACTCGGGTCCTGCCAAATGTGAAGCTCAGAATCAGCGCACCTTAACCGACTGATCCAAAGCCGTACTTGATTTTTTTGTTCACATATTTTTCTGAAGTTTTGTTACTTTGCTGTGAAAGTTTTATTAATAAATTCACTTACTGTGTTTATATTAGAACGAAATCATAAACCAGCTGTAGAATAATTGAATTAATTAATTAATTATAATTTTATTTTCAATTGTTAAATTTCAATACTATTCTGTTCGTAGAGGCATTATTTTATAAAGATTCTAGTTAATAATTATCATTTATTGATATATATATATATAATTTCTTTCAGCATCCTCTGTTTAGCATAAATTATCCAGCCTTAAATGTCAGTTTATCTTATGCTGAAATACAAAATCTACGTAGTAATTGTCAAAAATACTATACAACATTATTAGAGGTGTGTGGTGAACCAGTTTCATTAAAGAAGAAGATATGTAAATGCAAAGAGTTGGTTAAACAACGTTTTGTCGAAGATAGGGTTCATCACTTGGAGAAAGAGGCGCTATCTGAACAAGCCGTAGAAGAAAAACATGTGGATTTACTGCCTGTAGTAAAAGAGAACCAATTAAATAAAAATCTCAAGGACATCATAACTGCAGTAACAGATTCTAATGAAAACTCAGTAACCTGTTCTGCTACTTATATACCGATAACTGATATTGAAAGGAATCAATGTAAGTACTTAAAATTAAAATAATAAATAAGATGTATTGTATTTTGATAGATAAATCTTTTATATTAAAAGACGTAAAGTTTTTTTTGGAGCTTACAGTATATATGTATTTTATACTAAATACATGTATATAAGGTTTTACATCTATTAATCTAGACTAACGGTTAAAAAAAGTTATTGGAAATGTGTCAGTTGAATGTAAATCTCATTTATTATTAAGTTAACTAAAGTACTATATTTATTGGTGCTTTATAAATCATATCACCAATCTATATTTCTTCTGTTCTATCATCTATCAAGTGATGATTGTAGGTTATTGCTTCATTTTATAATTTTAGCTGTACTACGTCTCATAGTTTATGTCTGAACTTATGCCCGTCTTTATACATATGTTATAATATAAATATTACAAAATATATCTATGAGTTTTGATTTCTACGAACTTAAAATTATATTCTATTAATCAGTTTATAATCAAAAATTATTTCTTAAAGCTATTTCGTTCACATTCAGATACCTACGGCTTTCTTATTGAACAAATTCACAAAAGAGTAACAATAGGGCCGATTTTTTTTAAATAATTCAACTTATCAAGTCCTTCAAAATATACCTCAGTTTCCCATTCCACTTCATCAGTTGATACAAATCTCTTTTCCCGGAGTCATCTTCTCAAATTTAGAGATAGGTAATAGTCACTAGAAGCCAAACCTGGAGAATACGGTAGAAGAGGAAGCAAATCGCACCGTAATTCATTTTGCAGGTTGTCTTATCCTGCAAAAGCAAAATTTTTTCCTTCAACAAATGTGGCATTTTTTTTTCTTGATTTACTCATATAATTCAATACTGATATTATTGTTTTTCCTTTTTTAAAATAGTTTATAAAAAATATTCCACTTGAATCCCAGAATACCTATGGAAGCTAAAACTTTTCCAGCCTATTGTTGTTTTCGTGGTTGTTTTGGAACACTATTTCCGACTCTACACATTCTCTGGTTTCTTGTTTTTCCTCAAGTGTGAAATAATAGATCCATGTTTCATCAATTTTCACTATTCGACTCTACTCGCTCATATTTTGAATGACGAAGTTGTTGTCGCTTCTGGTCAATTGTGAGCAAATGCGGTACCCATCTTGCCGAAAACCTTTACATACTTTCATATAATATGTTTGTTGTCTCTGATTTTTCACGTAATTTAATTTTTGGATCATTCAACACAATTTCGTGCATGATCTATGTTTTTCAATTTTGATTCCGGTTCAATGTTTTTTTCAGTTGTGATCTCTTTTGGACGACCCGAACGCTCTTTATCAAAAACACTCATACGACAACGTTTAAATTCAGGACTCCAATATTTTGTTGTTGTTAACGAGTAACAATTTTATTTCTGTACGATATTCAATTTTTTCCATTTTATAAAAAATCTCCAATAAAATAGGTTCAATATCTCAATAATTTGGAAAAAGCTAACCAAACAACTGACGAAGTCGAAACTTTTACAGCTGTCGTTTAAAACTTGCCAGATATATAAAATGCTGGTTTTATTCTGGCGTTGCCACCTGTTGTGAAGTAAGGTAATTCAATAAAAAATTATTGCATTCGGTGGGTGATTCACATCATTACAATGGTGTCAAAATACACGACCGTAATAACATTATCACTATTCATAATGTCACAGTGTCATTACATTTGTTGTTGTACTGATACTGATATATTGTAGAATTAAAAAAATAAATTTTTAAAAGTATAATTACATTATTTCTCAGACATAGTTACCGTAGAAAAAAGATAAATTGTTGACTTATAATTAGAACTGAGTAAATATTTTGTAAATATCTATTATCTATGCATTGTATCTATACTTTATAAAAATTCAAAATTTTGTTTTTTTTAGTTTCTACAATTGAAACCCAAGAATTGAATGAACTTAAATTTGCGGCAGACGATGATTTAATAGACTTATATTGCAATCGTAAATCGTGTTTCAAGTACAATAAAGCTCCTTTCTCAAATGATAACAAATTTGATGAAGAGTTCTTGCACAAAAGTCTAAAGATACAGCCTTATGAATTACATATAGTGCCAAAAATGCAGTGTGAAGATGAAATGCAAACCCCTACATCTTCTACAACAGTCGCAATCTTTAACAAATCTGCAACGGAAGTAATAGTTAAATGTAAGGAAGAAAAATTGGATGAAGAAAGTGAGAATCCATCCCCGCAGAAAACATATTTAGAGTTACTTGAAGAAAAGATAGCAGCTCAAGAGCTTGGTTCAAATGTATATAAAGAAACCAATAAAATTACAGAAGCCACATTTAATTCAAGTGGGCTCATGGTCAAGCCAGAATGTGGTTTCACAATGGCAAGCGGTACTTCTAAACAAGAATTAACTATAAATATCGATGATTCATTCATGAATAATGAGACCGATATCAATGATTTGCTGACACCTGGCTACAAAGATTGCTATCAATACTGCAACGAACTTTTGAGAAGTAACTTTAGATGCTACTACAAAGATTCTTATCAATATCCTAATGAACGTTTGAGAAGTAACTTAAGACGCACATCACGTAAGCTTAGGAAAGAAAACACTGCAGATACTCTAGATGTAGTAAGGCTTAAAGATTTTCTACAAAAATCTGTAACTATGCCATTAAATGCTTATTACGAATGCGTCAGTAATGAAGTTATGCGTCTATTCATCGACGAACTGGAATTACTTGCGCATATCAAGAGTTTGGGACATTATTTTCTGTTAATGGATGGTGACTTCTGTTTTAATATAACTCATGACTTATTTACAAAATTGGAGGACGGCATTAAGCCAGAGCACTTATTTAATCATAGAACTCTGAATAATATACTTAATAAAGCATTGGCTCCAAAATGGACTGGTAAGTAATAAATATTCATTTTAATAGTTGAGTCTAATTTTTTTAAATTTATTTGTAGGTTCTTATGAAAGAGGTAAGAGCTTATCGTTCATTGTTAGAAATATACCTGAAAAATTTGACTTAAACTCTCTGGGAGTGTTTTGTGATTTGACCATGTCTTATAAAGTAAACTGGCCTTTAAACTATATAATTAATCAAGAAATATTGGACAAATATGAACATATATTCAAAGTGCTGTTGAAAATAAAGCGTATAAGTTGGCTTTTTATGAATTCGTTTCAAATACTCAAAGCATCTATAATCAAGCATGGTAAACCACTTCTGAACTCTCCACAATTCAGTCATGTGCAAAAGATTATTTTCAAGTTTTCTAAATTTATACAAAAGTTGCAAAAGTACATTAGCCTCACTGTTCTAAAGGGATCATCGAAGGTTTTCAAAAATGACCTAATATACTCTAATTGCATTGAGGATATTCATCGTGCACACACCGCATTTGTAAAACGCGTTATGGATCATGCTCTCATTGAAGGTGGTAGCTTGGAGTTTCAGGATAGGCTGAAACAAATTTTTGAAATACTTTTGAGATTTTATTAGTGAGTATTTAGTGTATTTATGTATTTATATTGTGTTTTTCTTATAAATTATTTCTTTTATAGTAATTTAAAAGCTTGTCAATTTAAACTGCTTCCCGATGATGAGCACTTCACCCATTCACGTTATAAGAAATTAATCATTGATGAGTTGGAATTCGAAGAATCTCTACAATTAATAATCAATTTGTGTCAAGAAATTAGTAGTCAAGAAGCGCATCACCAAAATATGGATAAGTTCATAAAAGTTTTTACTTTTTAAAAATAATTGCACGGAAGAAGTTGCAATTCAATCCGGCTATTAATAATAAATAAGTTTTCATTTGATTGTACATCATCATTAGCACAAAAATTAGCTAAAATTTGCCAATAATTACTGGTAAAACTTAAAGTTCTCAAAATTATAGTCAACCAAGTAATTTACTAAATTATTAGTTACTATAAATGGTAATAGTTTAATGTATGAAAAAGCGTTCATCTTTTATTTTATAAACCATATTTATTGATTATGAAATTGAGAACAAAATTCCAGTTTATTTATTAGCAATTTTTACAGTCAATAAAATTCATTAACAATCAAATTCTAGTTAATTTATTAAATACATTAGTTTTATATTTTAAACTTGACTACTGCAAGGTATAAAGCCTCAACATTACGAAAAAATTGAAAAGAAAGTTCTAAGATTTTCTCTAAAGTTTCTTTAATAATGTTCTTTTTTAAAACAGCCATGAATACTACACAAAAAGGATGTTTGTCACATATTCAGTCATATTTCATAGTTAGGTGTTCTGGGATCAACACCCCACTGCGTAGATAGTTAAGTCTGCGTCTCGCCACGGCTGGGCATATGCATAGAACTTGTTTTGCTATTTCCTGTTGCTCTTCACAGAGTCGACAGGAATCGTTTTCTGCGGGACCAATCTTTTTCAGATGATATCGCAGTCTACAGTGGCCTGTTAGCTGTCCCGTGTAGAGTTTGCTATCTGTTCCTCTTAAGCTCAGAACAGTTTCAGCCTTTATATGTTCAGGAATAATAAGCCACTTTGACTGCCTTTTGGGCTCTCCAGAAGTCAGTTAGGTTTCGTTTTTCCTTTTCGCTTACTACGTTTTCGCTTATTGGCTTTAAAGCTATTATTTACACTCATCCTTCGCTTACGACGGGGGGTGGTGGCGTATTATAAAAGCACATTTTTTGTTTCAGTGCGCTATGTTATTTGATCTTGTGCAGTGTGTATAGCTTCACTCATCGTTTTTCCATAAAGAGGTTTTCATTGATCCACGCAACGTGTAGGTAACCGTCCTCGTCATCTGCTTCCGTTTACTTTTTCCTCTATAACCAGTTTTTCCAGAGTTCCTAATCGCCTCGCTACGTTACCAAATTAGGTTAAATATCAATTGAAAATCATTTTTATAAGTCTGGTCTTTCATATTTTCATAACTTTTATTGTTGCAGATCTTGTCATTATAACGTTTAGTTTTTCAGAGCTGCGACCAGTATTAGCTTCAAGCCTTCCATCGTTGTTCCAGTTGGCGGGTTGTTAATTTATCTGTCAACTATCATAACTTTTGTTTTGGAAATGTTGATCCCTAGTACATAGCGTCGACTTATGGATGTCAAATTTTCCATCAGTAGATTGAGCTCACTTTCATTACTTGGGATGCAAAGAGTGTGTCGTCTGCATAACGTAAGTTATTAATTTTTGCATATCTTGTAGATAAACACTCAGCATATTCTTTAAACAATATTGGTGAAAGAATGCAGACTTGCCCAGTGCCAGCTTCAGCTTTGAACACATCTGCAAAATACCATGTGTAGATAAATATTTCTTTATATGTCACCTTACCATACTTACACTTATTTTCCTTTTTTAGAAATCTGAGTCAAAACGAATATAGTTAGCAATGCTTGTAGTGACGTGATTACCGTGACGTTGTTCTACTTAACAATAATCATCTTGAACAGTGTGAAAAATTGGATAATGCTTATTTCCAAGTTAGAAATATAAATAGGTGAATATAAAAAGGTTTAAATTATTTATTTTCATCACTCAATCACATCAGTAAAAGTCTTTTGCATCCTCTAAAATTTTATGGAACCCATTGAAAAACCCAAAGATGATTCAGTATTTATTTCACTTACACAGTTTATCCAGCATTGGTTGAGATTATGGTTTGCGGTGGAAAAACGATGAATCGTAGTATCGTTAAGATAAAAATTTAAATAGAATACTAATTGGTGAGATTTAAATATAATTATAGAGTTAATTTAAAAGCTATAGTAAAAGAGAGAAAGTTATGCAAAGTTGCTTATACAATTAAAATTATATTTTTTTTTGCTTGTAACTATAAACGGTTTCTTATGATTAAACAAATTTTAATCCAAAAATAAATAATTTTTTTTAGAAATATCTTATTGTCGTCATAAAGTGGAACATTTTAATTTTTGAAGAAAACTAAACCCCAGTGCACACGAATATACAAAACCGCACAGTACCACAACTCTCCCGCGTTTGCGGTTTTGGGAACATAAAATTTGTGGTTGTGGCGTATATGTGATCATATTTTGAAGTGGACATGACCTATGATAACACCGTGTACAGGTACATGCATTTTTAATCATAAATTCAGCAGAGTTGCTGTGCTACTGCTACTGCATGTACTAAAAAGACTTTAGTTAAGACTTTAAATATAGTTGGGACTTTAACTTTGGTTTAGACTTTCACATTGATTTAGACCCTAACTTTGGTTTAAACCTTAACTTTGATTTAAACCTCAACTTTAGATTTTTCAAACTTTAAATGCTTTTTCCGCCAAGTTATAAAATATGCAATCAGAGTCAGTTATAGACCAAACATGTGATTTTATTAAACAGTTTGATGAGGACATATAATACTCATGCTTATTACAATGACCCTCTCGTGTTTCCAGTAATACATTTATCGATCCGTCATAGAAGACGTATGGCAGACATGGATATGTGCCAGTAGACCGGTCGATTCAATTATCTGACGGTCTTCAAAGTCATTTTCGAACAAATAAGCCAAATGCCTGCAAAGATATTTTGCGTACATGTTTCAAAGGCTGGATGTGTACATGTCTTGCATAGCGGACGCATTTGATTGAAAGTAGTGCGCTTTTACTCTTTTCTTGTTTTTTCTTCTTTTTTATGCTCTTTAAATTGTAAATTTTGTTTCTCTTTCAATAATTAAAAGGAAATTTGTACGTAATTATTTTTTGTTGTTTATTTTGCATATATATTTTACACATTATATTTAGATAATTGTAAATTTATTTATAAAAATAAATTTGAATTAAATTAAATTAATAAATGTGAATGGAATAGAATATTTTACCTTACAATATGCTTATTCACTTTACTCAAAATTGGCACTGATAATAATGAAGGTGTAACGATATAGATTGATGTGAACACTACAAATGAGAGAGTAAGTAAAAGAGAGACTTCTTACATTCATATTTTGAGCAATTGTTGTGCAAAATTTGATTTAAAATACGGATGCAGTATCAAAGACCGTCGCGAAGAGAATGTCTTCGAATACCACTTTTTCAACTCGGTTTCTAAGTAGATCGGTGAGACGCAACATAATTGATATAGGTTTCTACTGCTATGAATGTATAGTTCTCATGCTTTATTACTTTTATTTTTGCTTTAAAAATATTGTTATATTTTTTACAATAATTTTCTTGTAATAAAATATATGTGTTATCATATTACCTACTTTTTGATATCAATGTGATAATATGATAATAAGTACATTTTCTTGAGAGCTCTAATATTTGATAGTTCTAATATAGAAAATAGATAAGACCCTTAGAGTTTGTTTAAATTTTTATTTGGTGGACTTCGAATATGAAGACTCTTTTGTTTAGGTATATATCTACCTTCTGCTCAAAAAGTATCCGGCTTTTGTTGTTTCTTAACTACTCCTTAAGTAATAGACCTTTCTCAAAAATTTTTTGTTATATTGGTACACCCTTTCTTGACATATGGTACAAATTTGTGCGCCATCTGTCAATTAATTTGTTTACAGCAGCTGTTAATGTGAAACTACCTCAAGTGCATTTAGTGAGTTTTACTATGGAAAATTTTTTGACCAATCACGGCCCACTGTCATCGCTTAGGCACTATATTTGCCAGATCTGGCGCCGTGCGACTTTTTCCTAATCCCGAAACTCAAATTGCCCCTTCGTGGTAAGTGTTTTGAGTCGATTAAATCGGTAAAAGAGAATTCGCTGAGGGAACTAAAAGCCATACCTGCACGGGCCTACGAAAAGTTTCCTTGTTTCCAAAAAAGCCCACTTGAGCTCAAATAATAGTCTATTGTCGTACCACAGAACTAGCATTGGTATGTACTTAGATTGCACTCAGTGTACAGCCAACGCAGAAAAAGGTAACGGCTCCCCCATTAGGTAAAAGAAAACCAACCGGACAGTTCTATAAATCTGGCTAGGTCCATAATATTACGGGATGACATCTCAGTCAGGTCGGTGAAAAAAGATGCTTCGAAGATTTTTAATCGTTTTCCAGCTAAAGCAAGGCACAGACAAATGAGATGGAACACAGTCTCATCCTCTTCCTCATTCTCAGAGCCACAGCCCCGACAAAAGTCACTGTAGGATAGATCCAGTCTCATAGCATGCCTTTCTATTTTGCAATGGCTCGTCAGAACAGATATCATGGTGCTGAATAGGTTCCGCCTTAGATGAAATAGTTAGTATATTACATTATATTACAGTCACAAAAAATGCAAATAGAGTCTGTTATGTTGGAGTATATTTAAACCGAAAAATAAAAAGTTTAAACTTTTTTTGTATTTTTTTTATTATTATTTTTACTATTTTAACTTGCTTTAAGCAAGCAATTATTTGTATTTATTCTTATTGAAAGGACATTCTTTCACTTGTTGGCATTTAAAATGCTGGACAACTAGTGTAGTCAAGTTAAAATAAAGAAAAACAAAAGCAACAAAATATTTTAAAATTTTTCTTTTTTGCAAAATGGATTTAAACTTTTTGCTGACAAAGAACGTATTTCGTATTTAGAATCTAGTACAAAATGTTGGCCAAAGTCTTTTGAGCGAAATTAAAGTGGAAAATTTTAGGAATTTAGTTAAATTAACAATGGCCTAAATTGTGAAGAGTTTCGTTTCTACGCCTTTGCTACTACTGTTTCTGATTTCTCTGCTAGAAGAAGTTTTACTTCCGTTTCCTGAATAAAACAAAAGAAAGATTTAATTTTTTTTTTTGTAATTTAATTTAATTTATATTTTTTTTGTGTATTTTTCATTGAATAACCATCCCTAGTATCCATAGTTGTGTGCTATGAGAAAATAGGATAAAAGACTTTTGAAGACTTTTTAAATGCGACATAGAACTTTTATTTTGGTAAAATTAACCTCAACGTATTATTTTTTAAATATTTGAATTTATATTTACAATTAAAAACATCTTAAATAAAGCTATGCTTTATTTTTATAAAGAAATTTTCTCTCGATACTAGAGTTTTTCTACTTTAGTACAAACTAAAGTTTTGACGGCATAAAAACTACATATTGGTATTAAAAAAGACACAATAATAACACAAAACTATTAAAAATAATACTTTATGAAATTAAAAAAATTATTTTAAATATTTATTTTATTTTTAAATATATACATAATTTATTGTTTTCTTGAAAACAAAGAAAAAGTAATATTAATGTAACAAAATTGGAATTTTTAATGTTTTAAGTGAAGTTTGAGTTTTTCTATTCTATAAATATTTAAAAATATATTAAAAAAACTGATTATTATTGTTTATATATTAAATTAAACTTTTTTTAACCTTTTTTTTTGACTCATGTCCCACACAGCTTACTTGGAAACAGTTTGCCATGAGAAATAGGGAAAGAACTACCATTCCCATTTCATTCAAAATAAGTATGATTATTATCAAGACCAAAGTTATTTACAATAACTTAATTCTGACGATAATAGCATAATTTTTCTGACGATAAAAATGTCCTCGATGTCCAATAATATTGTTATTGATATATTATTCCTCACTTAAAATAAAACAGAGTCAATGGATCTCCTAAAAGAACATTGAAATAAATGATCGAACAATTTTGCTCTCTAATATTTCTATATATAAATTATATATAATATAATATAAATAATAATATATGTATATATACTTATATATATTAATATATATATTTTCTTTTATAAAAACAAGGCCAACGAGTATAGAAGTCCAATCGAGTACATAACTATTCAAGCCTGAAACTATCCACCCTTTAGAGAGATTCTTAGATAAAACATTTGACATGTGTCAGAAGGCAAAAGAAAAAAAAACTTTGCATTAATTGTAAACAATTTTTATGCTTTGGGCATCTATAATATATGATTCAATGATTCTTCGCAGTATTTAATTCCAGTACTTAATCAAGCGGAGTGCCCCCCAAATACCTGACACACTACTTCGATGAAGTGGACCATAACCTCTCCACTATCCACTTAAATAACCGCGGCTTTCGTGACCCTAGTCACAAAGTATATTGTTGATTCAACCCCCGCTAGTTAGCCGCAACCCCTTCCCCTTCTATATCGTCCTTTCTACCTAGTTCATGCCCTTGCTTCCTGATTTAAATGAGCGTAGTTCACTGGCGTAGTTCACTAGGTATTAAATCTATTTTCTCATTCCTCTCTTCCATGATTACTGGAATGAAGTTTCCATATTTCTGTGGAAGTCTTCTACTTTCTTTCCTAAGAGGTGGTTTTAGTGGGTTCAAGTCCCACACTGCGGCTTTCGAAGCTTTCCACCTACTGCAAAAAACAAGAAAAAAAAAAAACCAGAGTGTATATATTGTTCCATATATCGTATGTTTGAATGACTAATATTTTTTAAACTTAAAAGTAATCAGAAAATTTGCTGTAAAAAACATGCCATATAGTATTTACCGTAGTTGCTAATTTGAAGTAAATGAAAGTATCTAGATATAAAAAAAAAGTTTCATATATTTATTGTGTACATATTCAAAAGAAGAGTTAAAAATATTACATTGGAATGTACACAAAACTTTTTTAAATATTAATAATATTCGAAGTCCTGATAATTATAAGTACTAGTGCGCTTACGGCGCGTTTTCTGGGATGCACCAGTTTTTCCAGAGCTGGTGTTCCTGCGACGTGTTTTTGGTGCTTCACCATTACCTTTTAAGGTGTTACTGGTCCTCTTACAACGTTTATTTGGTGATTCACAATTATCTACAGTTGTTACAATGTTGCACTTCTTTTTAGGTACATCAGTTTTTACACACATTCCACCGATGCGTTTACGACGCTCGTTTGGTAGTTCAGCATTATCTTTAGAGGTGCTATTCTTGCTACTTTCGGTCTTACGACACTTGTTTGAAGGCACAACAACTTCTTCACCAGCTTCTCCAGAGCTGCCTGTTTTATCCCAACGACACGCGTTTGGACCTGTACCAGCTTCCTTAGAGCTGTCCTTGGAACTGGTGCTTGGTAGTTCATCAGTATGCTCAGATAATCTGATAATCTCAGTATTTATCTGAGCCAAGCGGTATTGAAGCTGTAAAAGTTTTTTGCATTTAATTAGACTTTTTTAAACTGTGCCTTATTTCTTTAGTTGTTTTTATTTCTTACCAGGAAAATATTTAAAGGTTCGCCTTCCTTAAAATCAGGGAACACCGTTTTAATATCTACATTGTACCTCTCAGGGCAAGGTTGCTTTAGGGGTTTGTGTATTTCGTTTTTAACAGCTTATTTAAATAGTAAAAAGTATTCTTTTAAATAATAAAATTAGATAATAGAAAGTAAATTATAGCTTACCCGAACTTGCCACCTCTGGAACGTTCTCCACATTTTGCACAGGAGTTGAGTCCTTGGTAATTAAATCACCGGCCTCTGGAATCGGTAAGTCTGATTCAGGGTTTTCTACCATTTCCTCCTGCTTCACGTCTTCTAAACTTTCCATTGTAGTGGAAGAAATATTTTCCATATTTTAACTTTTAAAATTTTTTAATGCACGAGATTTTAAGAACGTTGCAAACGTCAAAGACAAGCCAATGAAAAGAGACTTGTAGCTTGAGTTTTATTAAAATGTTGAAAATTTTTGCAGTGTTGCATTTTATTTATGCGTCGCATCACAGTAACTTTCATACCATGTATACATCAAACCATGTTTACATTACAAACTTAAGTGAACGAACTTTGCAAAACTAGATTCCAAAACGTCAAACCTTTCGGTTCGTTTCGGGTTTGGATTTCGTTTCGGGATGAGCATGAAGCTAGAAATGTTATTATATTTTGGTGTAATTCTGCTTACTATACTTTCAAGTAAGTTAAAAAGCACGGAAGCTCTTCATGTAGGTAATGAAATTTACTTAGTAAGTTAAGCTTACTAAGTAAGCAGTAGGAAAGTACTTTGTTGCGCCTATTTTTATACGTCAAAGTGAGCTTTGGTAACTAGTTTTGTACTCCAAGTCGACATCCACCAGCAAAGTTCGTTATGTAAATCCCTTATTATACATTATGAACTTTGGTGGTGGAAGTCGACTATACCGCGTTGCCCAACAGCGTTTTTCCAACATAAACGCCTTTTTAGCTAAAATTTTTTTATCCTTTTGAATGACATGAGCAGTTACTTGATTTTAATGTGCTTTAGTAAAAGTTTTAGTTTTAGTAAAAAGAAAATAAAATATGTTTATTTGTTTTTAGTTTGTGACTTATAATACATAATTTGAAGTAATTATTTATTAATTTTGTTTTTAATAAACAGTAAAACTATATTTCACCACACTTAACTGTTATAAAATCGAAACTGTTATATTTTGAACAACAAAAGAACATTTTTATGGCAATATTCTCCTCTTTGAGATTATAGCACAAAAATAATATTCAACACAACCCCTTGTGCAGAATTTCATCCCTTCACGGTCGGGCGGTTGAATTGAAGTATTTATTTTGATACACTAATTCAAAGGCACTTCTAAGCAATTTGGGAATCATGTGCATGCAGGACAAGAGCTAATAGCTGAACAGCTAAAATGCCATTGAAAATCAAATTGTTTCAATTTCATATAATTTCCCTTGGGGTAGGTTTTCACATGATTAACGAACGCAATTCCGAATTACGACGGTCGTAAATGCCGGTGTGCGTGAACACGTAAATGTGATTTTTCATAGGTAAACGAGCGTTGCACAAAAGTTGGAAGCGAAATATTTTAACACAAAAATAACACAAAAACAACAACAAAACATATATAAATGCGTACAAATAACACAAATATGCACGTAATTGACAGTTTTATTAAGCAAATTGCGACATTTTGACAGCTGTTTTGTTCGTGATTATAAGTGTGAACGTCTGCTCTTCCATTTACTTTACTTTAGTGGTTCTTGCTTCATAGAACTGATTTCATGCAAGCATTGCTTTATATTCAATGTATACGTAAAGCGTTATAAGAGGTCGATATATACAGGGCAATTCTGGCAAAGATCGTTAAAAGTCTTTCTTAAGATCTTAGTAAGATCGACCAAAAGATCGTTTGTAAGATTTTAGCTATTCTGGCGCAAAAGTCTTTCAAAAGAAGTTTTGTCATTTTTAATTCGTGGTAGAAAGCTCTTTGCATGCTTTACGAATGTGATATTCCAGTATTTTGGCTCATTCCTGAACAATGGCTTTCTTCAACGCAACCATTATTATTATTGTTGGGGAATGCATCACTGTGACAGTCGTATCTATTGTGTTTCCTTCTGGGTTTAGAGTAAATCTCTAAGCCCTGTTGTGTCAATTAAATGTAGTATTGAACCTCTTCGGAGCCTATATACAGAGTTTTATTGCCTCTTCGGTAAGAATATACATTCTCAGGAGGCTATTCCGTATGCACGTTAGCACAGGGCATTCTAACAGTACATACGTGGCTGACTCTTCATTCTCTTCACAGAATCTACAGTTTGCATACGTATGTATACCCAGTGTCCTGTTAGGGTTCCTATGATGATTGCAAGTTTTTTAGGTTCAAACAATCCTGGTATATCTTTTTGTTATAGGTACCAATAAGTGATTTGGATTGTGTTAATGCAGGTAGATTATCTCAGTAATTCTTTTTATTCTGATTCTCCTTTATTTTTATGAGAGAAAGGAGAGTACTATGTTCCAACCCACAAACAGGTTCCGGCTCCATAATTGTCTACGTATTCGTTTCCGCATATGTCTCGACACCCAAAGAATCGACATCTGATTTGATCCACCGAACAGGTTTAGCTTGTCAAGGCAGTCTTGCAACAGTCTTGAGGTCACCTGATGCGAGTTCTGTCAGTATTGCGATATTTTTAACCTGGTAGTTCCGTTCAATATTGATGAGTACGCACTTAAAAATTGCATTAATTTCCGCTTGGAAGATGCTAGTATTTTTTCCTAGCTCTTACCAATGCTTCTTGCCTGCTTTCAATATGCCCGCTCCGGCACCTTCCTCTATAAGCGAGTGAAATATGCGATTATGGTGCTCGTTAGCTGGTAGATTTGATTGATGCCTTCCCAGCTTCTTTTGTTGCTTAGTTCAGTTTTAAAAAGTTTAGTTAAACTGAACTTAGGATTTATTGTGTCCCATGGCATTGATAACTCCGGACCGTGCTTGGAAAGATTTTCAAATTTCTTTCTATTGAGCCAGCTATCCGTTAGATTTATTTGCTTCATTCTTAGAACAACTCTTCGGACCTAATGTATATTGGCAAGGGCATATTTTATAGCCTTCACCTTGCTCTCCACCTCCCCAAAATTGCCCAGATGGTGAATTCGAAAGCCATTCGTCCATCGTGAAGACGAAATGAAGTGGGAACATGATTTTCATACCATTCTTTGTCCACACGAGATCGAGAGCCTTTTGAGATCGAGACCGGTGCCGAGTATTGTTGGAACGTCCATGTTCTACGATCGAAATGTTTGTGTGTCCATGGCTCTAAAGCAACTTCTAAAACATTTTTTCGAAAATAAATCTTTCGAAATCCATTTCGAATAACTTAGACGTAAATGCTTGTGGTGGCTTGTAAACAATATAAACAGCTGTCATTCGTATAAATTTCACGTAGTTGGCAATATTAGTCTGATATGTGCCTGTGTGTAGTTGGTAACATAACAATGAATAATATTATGTAATATAAAAAAAGTATAAAATTCCATTTATACAAATTTTAATTAATCAATTAATTATTCATTTTTATTTTAATTTTTATGTACTTTACAAAATACGAAATCTTAGTGGACAATCAAAAGATCTGATCAATAGCAGATTCTTCAGTTGATCTTTGGAAAAACCGAAAAGACTTTTCGGTCTTGCAAAAGACCTGTTCCATAATTTAAGAGGTCTTTCAAACAATCTTTCGCAAAGTTTTTGAGAGTAGTGAGCACAAAGATCCTTGCCAGAACTGCTATGATAGGCTATGAAGACTAAACGACGTTTATTAAAATCCAATAATTAAGAATAAATATGAGGAGATGTATTGCCTGTCAACTAGAGCCTTTGGCAAAGCTTAAGATACTGTTCAGTGGGAGATCTTGTAATTGTTCAAAATCCTCAAGGAAGGGGGTCCGTGAAATGTTTAGTCGCCTTCGTACATGAGCTGAACAAAGACAGAGCAGATGAAAGACAATTCACCAACCTATATTTTCCTTTGGTTTCTTCTAGCTTAGTGATCTTCCAGGAATACGTCTTAATCTCATGGTTAACCAACCGAATAAGCTCCAGAATCCGCTAAGAATCAGACGGTTCGGCTGGAATTCAAGAACGCGGTCTAAGTCGGCTTCAAATTTGCTCCTTAGCAACGATTTCAAGTTTTGTGCCTGGCCATACCTCACCAATTCTGTAGATGGCAATGCGAAATATATTAACAGAAAGCTGATCTGCGCAGGAGACTAGCTTCACATGCTGAAACCATCCACTATCGTGATATGTGGATTCTGCATCTGCAAAATTCTTGAGGACATCAATGTATATGTCTAAGAGTCTAAATACGATTTTATCCTATTTTTCAGGAATAATAGTGCATTCGAGTCATTTGCATCAATGACCGTCTTTATGATGGAGCCCTTTAACATGTTGGTAAAGAACTTTGTTGTGGACGCATTTTAACGAAATTTTGTATTTTTGACAGCTGGTTTCAAAGCATGCTTAACCCCGAAGTTTGATAATAGTTGACTTAGTTATAGTTTGATGTGGCCTTCAAGATGATGCAGGTATCAAGGTATAGTGCCTTATATACATATTGCTCGAATAGATATGTGTTGCAAGTCCAGATTCCATTTTTGTGTAGAAGGTATTTTCAGGGTTAGCTGCAACAGATCGTTAATTAGTGAGAATTCTAGTATTGCAATCTACATTTCTGTTCTAAGATCTGTAGTTGACTCTAGATTAATCCTAACTAAACCACGATTCTTCTTTTAAATTTCATCCAAAATGGAATGGTTGCCGCAGTTGACTGTTTTCCACACCCTAGCCTTCTATAGTCAGCTGTACAGTCTTGAACAAAAGCTTTAAGCGCTATGAGATTAATAATATTGTGTATTTAGGCTTTCTTAAGGCGTACTACTGACTGTTCTGGAAATATATAATCAAATTAGTTTCCATAAATTTCCCAAGCAAGTCGGCCAGTAAAAATAAAGTGTTACCAACACAATAAGCGAGCTATTGTGAACCTTTATTGGAAATTCCAACGAATATTGCAATCATATGTCAAAAATTATATGTAAATAAAAATTCAAGCGAAATTCAAAAATTACATAAATTTGAAAATTTTAGTGCTTCATTTTGAAATCTTCAAAATTTTTACCACTTCTATTAATGTTGCATAGATTTTGAACTCTTATATATCAATAATAAATAAATTCGTTTGAGAATTTTTATATGGTGCCAAATCTTAAAATTGGTCTATTGTGAATGATTTTTGGAAGAAAATAGAAAACTACAGTCAGCTGTTTATTAACTACAACTGTTGTGAGTGTTGATGAATAAATTTAAATATTGTATATAAGAAAATTTTTTAATAAAATTTGTGAAAATTACTAACAGGTTAGTAATTGTGAAGAAGTCATTCGTTCATTATTTATAATATATTTATATTATATTTGTATAAAAAATCAAAAATTAATCTATTGTGAATGTTTACTGGAAATATGTTGCAAATTTTCACTCATCCGTTAAATTCATATGAGCGTTTCAATTACCAATAAATTTAAGTATATAAATAAATAGATGGTTACTAATGCCTTTCTGTTATTAATTTTGTTTTTTTTTCATTTATATTAATTTATTTTCAGTGTATAATTTTTATATTTCATTTTGTACACAACACAAGAAAAAATATAGTCAAAAATAAGCATTTAACATTTTTTAAAAGTGATGCCAATTCATTTCAACCAGACCTAATGTTGTTTTTTTGATGTGTTGTGAAAATACGGTCTAATTCAAAAATCAGTCTATTGTGAATGTTCACTGAAAATATGTTTCAAAATTCAAGTCGTTCGTATCAACGTGCTTCCACATCAAAGCGAACGAACTAACTTTTGCAGGTACGATTACCTGCGAACGACAGAGAATATTCGTTCGTTCGCAAGCATTCTCTTTGGTGTGGAAGTACGTTGATACGAACGACTTGAATTTTGAAACATATTTTCAGTGAACATTCACAATAGACTGATTTTTGAATTGGCTGTATTACACAACTTTAGTTTTAATTTTTGTTTGGGAGTAAAACTAAACTCTGAGTATATATATATATATATATGTATTTATATGATATATGATATATTATATTATATATATATATATAATATAATAATATAATATATATGTGATATACTCAGTATGTACATCGTAATGTTTTTTTTTTGTTTTGTTATATGGGCTTATTGGTCAACAGTATTTCTTATGATTTGAAATGTTAAAAACCACAATAAATACCCTCCTTTTCTTGATTATTTTTATTTCAGATTTCTTGATTTCGGTAAATCCTTTAAGAAGTGTTCGTCTTCATCTTAGTCTTACATCTTTAAATGGTCTCAATGAATAGTAATAATTATAAGGCCATTAAAAGGTCTAAGCTTCAGTATTTAAACTTATGTTTCTACATTTCATATTCTCGTGATTCTCGTAATTCTTGAAACCTAAAGCAAATTGTTTCAAAATTTATGCTAATGTTGGCGTGTTCTCCTTTCAGCAATAAAAGTCATTGAACGTTGCGAACATTTCCGTTTGAACTCAGTCTTTGACAAAACGCCAATTTTACAATTTGAAGGCGTCGGTAAGTCTGAAACTTTTATGAAGTAAATAAATTTTTTTATTCCATTTTTCTGATTTAGTTTGAAAAGAAAAACTTTTGGCGTACTTTATTGATTTTTTTCTCTAACTGGAAAAACTGAATAGAAAACGTTAAGCATTTTATTTTATTTTATTTTTTTTGTTAATTATCGAACAGAAGGCTTTTGTTTCTAGTAGACGCACTCAGATTGCTCTTAGGTTGGCGTCTGTATGTGTCAAATGTTTGTTTAAAGGATAATCCCAATATTTATGAAATATTTATGTGAATGTATTTATTTATTATTATTGCTGATTGTTTATATTAACATAAACTAATAGTAGGACATTGTGTTTATGTAAGGCGAAAGATAAATTTTAGTTAAAATAATATTTAAAATTATAATATTCAATTGAAAGGAAGAGTTCAAACGAATTTTGAATCGTAAATGATTATAATTTATTTTAATCAGTTTAAACATAACATAATATACAAATATATTTCTTTGTTTACAGTTGGTGGAAAGCATTAGAAGCGACAGTGTGAGACTTGAGCTCACTAAAACTACCTCTTACGAATTAGTTGAGAAAATCTTAACCATCAGACTTGAAAGAAATCTGATGCTTAATTTCGTAGATGTGGAAATTAAGTTAATTTGGAAAGTGTTCACACTGCCCCAAATCAAGGAAATCATATTTATTTTGTTTACAAATTGAATGTTAAAAATTGCATGCTCCAAACATCATTTGTATCTGGGAAATTTTAAAAGTTGATTATAAAGGATGTTATTCAGTAGATTTATTAGATTTAGTGAATTTCAGGTATGTGAATTATTATTTTTTACTCTATTTTAAATTAATAACAGTTACAGTTTTTTTTGCTATATTTGAATTTAAAAACTTGTAGTACTTTTAAAATATTTTCCCGGTTTTATTCACGTCAATTATCACAAGTTTTACAAAAAGTGACATTTGTTTATTTAAAACAAATGTCACTTTTTCGTTATCTCAACTTTATATTTTGCTTAAAATTTATCTTATGCATAATTGCATTTCAACGATATTTAGTCTATTTTTCTTAATTTCATTCTACCTTAAAACTGAATTTTAAATGAAAAAAATCAACTTAATTTCGCTGAAACGAAGATGAAATTAAGATTTTTGTGAAATTAAGGTGTGTTTGAACATAGTATTACTTAAATAGATTAATTTATATTCTCTTTTTTATTAATTATAACATTAATAGGGCGATTCTAACAAAGATCGTTAAAAGTCTTTCGTGAGATCTTTGAAAGATCTAACAGACATTATTTATCGAGGCTCGAATCCACATTGGATCTTCTATGTGGCAGACAGAGATAAGCAAAATTCGTGCATCACTGTTAAAAGGACATTGGTACTCGCATTCTTTGTAATCACAGTGATGTAGATAATATAGCAAATTACTATTTGTGACATATGTTACATGGAATTTCCATTAAAAGTTACTGTTGCATTAATTTAAATATTTAATTTAATTTATTAATTAAATTGGATTTGGTAATTTGCAGTGTGAATCAATGCTTTATATTATCTTAAGCAGGATTAATTCGAGTAGCATTTTAAATATTTTTAAGAAGTTAGTTTGCTTTGCTTCTCAAATTTGACATTTCTAGGTGAATATTACTAAATAATATTTAATTTTAAAATTCAGTATTAAAAATATATAAAAAAAAATTTACAAAATGAATTAAAATTCATTTTTGGTCCCGTTGTGTTATTTTTGGTGTATATTTTATCAATTTAGTGTTCTTGAATATTGTTTTAACTTGTTCACTTTTAAATCAGAAGATACATTTTTGGGCCTTCCTGCTAAAGTTACAGTTTTACTTGAAACTAATAGTTCATTTCATAATATTGTGCTTGTGACTAAATACTTAGTCTGAAGTGATAACACTGTTATAAAATTAACATATTACCAATATATCATAAAATGGTAAAGAACGATATACCAAACAATCAGACTGACCTCCCCACTATAGATGAATTGGAAGAGGCTGGGGAAATAGAACAATTTTTTATTGATGATGACCTATCTAGTGATGACAGCGACAGCATTGAAGGTATTCAATTATACTACTTTAAATTTAAATTAACATAAAAATCTATTTTAGACTTGACCTCTGAACCTTCCGAAAGTAATATACAAGCGCCATCAAACAGTGCCGTTCAATCAGAGATATATTTAAGTCCGACTGATGTTATGAGTAAAATGTGTTATATTCATTATGGTTCATTATATGAAAGCATTATATACATTGTGAGTTTACCTTCTGAAGAAGACGACATCATTGATATATCCTCACTCTTTGAGGACACAGATTAATTGTCTAAAATGATTGTATGCTTTATAAATAAAATTAGTTGCAATTGATATAAAAAGGTTTATTGCGTTGGAAGCAATTGAGTCTCAATTAGAAGAATATAAAATTGATATAATTAGCCCTCAAAGAAGAACATAAGGTAAGAACTATTTCATATTGAGATTCAGTTTAAATTTTATATAAATTCTTTTTATTTTAAAGAACTGTATTGGAGACTGTTAAATATCTTAGAAACTTGCTTACTAGTTGGAACACACAGTAAAAGCTGTTATAAACTATTTTCAGTATTAAAAATTTTTGAAAAACTTGTTACTTTTACAGGTGTCTACTCGTATAGTAAAAATCGACCTCAATTTAATTGTTCAGTCTGAAGTCCAAGTCTGAAGTATTTTACAGAGGAACCATAACTAACCTTGTCAGGGAGTTATGTTATGCGATAGCTAAAGGTGCTGTTTTTTTTTGTGAAAAAGAACATTCGATTTTTATTTAATATAATACCTGAACTAAAAATATTTAAGGTAGGAATTTGAAGTTTGTAATAGTTATGACAACTATTAGCATTAAATCTGCTAGCACATGAATATAATGCATCCTTTCTTTAGATGGCTACGACGATATTGAAAATTTCTCTACGTAATGTTTGAACTGAAAGTATTTTTGGAGCGGATGTTAATCAAAAGTGAACGAGACAGAGTGAAGTCTCTTGGAATTTTTTGCAAATTCGTAACAATCCATATCATAAAATCAAAAACTGAAATAACGAGTCTTCTAATGCCATTCAAGGGAATAAAATGTTTATCTCTATAAGAATGAGACTGTTAACTGAAATGTATCTCAAAAATTTCAAAAACCTTAGTTAATTATTGTTAAAATTTGAGTCATCATGTCAAAATCATTTGTCTAATTTATTATAATAAATATACACACAAAGTATAAACAATATTTGAGTGTTATTTTTAAAATACTAATATTATCTGTCAGTATAATACTATAATTCATTTTAATACAAACACTATTCCACTAACAGTGTGTGTCTCTACATATGGGTATGTAGAGATCACATGTGTCAATATCTGTTATATTAATAAATGGAATGTATAAATAAGAAACTCAGTTATTATTATATATTCTAAAAATCTTTAGCTGTTTTTTCCAAAGAAAAATAAAGTTCTTTTTGTTCGCGGTATAATGAGAAATTCTTCTCTTTTTGAAAGGCCCAAAATTTAGAGAGAGAGAAGGGAGAAGGGACTTTTTGGACAGTCTTCATTATTCACAATAAAAGAGTAGCACAAATGGTTATTCAAAATTTTTACATCTTTATTAAATTTTACTAAATATGTAAAAATGAGGACAAAATAAAGTATTTTCTGTCAATAAACTGTTAACATAAAGTTGTTACTGTTGATAATTATAAGTTCGAAGTTGTGAAAGCCTTTGTTTATTTACGAACCATTGTAAACACCAAAAATTATGTCAGCCTAGAGATTCAACGAAGAATTACTCTTGCCAACACATGTTCGGACTTCAGACTATATAGGCAATTGAGAAATAAAGTCCCCTCTCGACAAACAGATAACACGCTCTATAAATCTCTTAACATGCCTGTCCTGCTGTATGGTACAGAAGCTTGGATAATTACCAACAGTGATGAGAAGGCGTTAGGAGTATTTGTGAGAAAAATAGACCGAAAGATCTATGGTTCCTTACGTGTTGGCGACGCATAAAAAATTAACGGCTTCGCTGGTTGGGTCCTGTCGTACGAATGGAAGAAAGTGCTCTGGCTAGAAAGGTGTTTAATTCGGTATCTGCAGGTAGAAAACAATGTAGAGGCATCTTCGGTTGAAGGATCAGATGACCAACGATTTGTGGGTGCTCGGTATTACTAACTGGCGACAGGAAGCAACTAATCGCGCTTACTGGTGGAGGCTATTCGACGCGGCCAAGGACGACTTATGTCTGTTATGGACAATTAACTAAGTAAGTAAATATGTTAAAATATATAAAAAGATCTATTAGCGTGAAAATCATATAATTAGCATTACAATTAAATGAGATTCTCTTCTGTTAATAGAAAAGAACAGAATTCTCAAATACAATTCAAATGTAATGTTAAGCCAACACATAGTCTTCACAATCAATACTGATTACTTTAATTTAATTCATTTTATATGCAAATATCTTAAAGCTATAAGTGTTCCGAAGCTTACAATTAAATTAATGTAAATTTAATTTGACAAATTTTCGAATCTTGTGAATGAATGTCTTGGCAATTGCAATTCCGTTTATGTTCGTTTGTTTTACTGTCAGTACATTCCTACCTGATTTTATTTGTTGCATTATACTAATTCTCACTTCTTGTTGTTGCTATATTTGTTATTGTTGCTGTTTTGTTATGGTTGCTGTTAATACATTTGCAATTGTTTCGTGATAAGAGCATAAATTTCAACTGTCATAGAAAAAGCAACCCAGCAAGGAATATCATTCTTATTTGATATTTTCCAACTTTAAACTACACTCAAAAGTTATTTGCAACAAATTCAATTTGTTTCTTCATCACCCTTCTCTGGAGCTTATCGTAAGCCAAAATAACTCCGAAGCTGTCTGGGTCTTATAAAGTCTATTGAAACCGATAGCTAAAATCGAGTTATTATTATCATTAAAAGCCAAGATGCACTTTGTTCAAAATAGATCATTTGTTCATACAAGCTTGAGATTGAGCTTGAGATCAATAGTTCAGAGTATTGAGATCTTATATTTGCCAAGTGTATACTTTGTGCTTCTGTAGGAAAAACCAGATTAGCAGTTGTCGAACGATTCTCAAAATTTGATGAAGCTATAAAAACTAATAGAAAACCAATTGATATATTGTATCAATATATTGTCTATCAATTATAGACAAATTTAATAACAAGAAGAAAACTTTATAAAATAAGAACAATTAATTTCTTTTTGAAATCTAATAAGTATGGTAAAAATATGTAATAAATTTGCGAAAACGAAACAAGCTTTCCTTTCATTGAATTCCATAACCCGGCAAGAAAGGTCCGACAAGAATCTGATATCAATAAATTGTAACAAACCTGTATATAGGTATTATAGTGCAAATAGAATTGTGATATTGAGAACTGTTATAGAAATATGGAGAACAAATATTCATAAATCCACAATGAAAGAATTTCGAAAATTTCTTTGTCAAGTGATATTGAAAGTAATCCACTCGTATTATATAAAAATAAGACCTCAATTTTATGAGCCAAAAAAAAATATATCTTTATTTTTCTATATACTAATGATCGTCATAGTGAAGTAAACATAGTGAAAAAAAAAATAACTTCAATGAACCGCTCGACGCCTGAATGGAATGTCTCATAAGAATATAGTTTTATGCAGCACAAACCGGTGAACAATAGCAGTATTTCAAAGTATTAAAAATATTCTTGGAATTGAAGGAGGTGCGATTGTTAACGTGGACGTATGCAACAACTACTGGCACTTACTTTCGAAGCTATGTAGTGTCTATTGTGATAACCTCAAAACGTCTTTCAGAAAACTATAAGAAGATATACTTTCGATATCTTTGTTAGGCCAGTGAAGAAACGGTCTCAAATTTATAGAGAATATATAGAATATGAGTGATTTATTTTTTTCCCCTTAAATTGTGGTAATATCTGTACAATTTTCTCGCGGGAATACGACAACCATTTAAGTATCGGTACAAGAGTACAGTACTTCTTTAGTACTTTAATAACTGGAAGCCGGAGGGTTTCCAATTCACTGCTGTCTGAAAGTGTGAGATGTCTGTAATTTTTTGATAATAATGAAGCTTATTTAGCTGTAGTATTGTTGGAGAGAGAGTGTCGAATTATGATAATATTGCAATAGCTATATATAGGGTGAAGGAAGCAAGAAAAATGTATATTATAGAAAGTAGAAAATGTGGAAGAATTAAGAGTGAAGCAAGATACAGAAAAATGAAAGCAAAAAATTAAGAAAATAGAGAACGAAATAGAGATATATGTATTGCTAATAAAAGAGACAATAAAGCGAAGAAAGTAAAAAAATAAGAAAAAAAAGAAATTTATACAATATTTTAACCTATGAGAATAACACTACCACTTCATTGTAGTCTTGTATAGTTTTGCAAATAATACTGCGATTTCTAAACTTTTGTATACTAACTAAATCTAATGGTCTATTTAACTTTAAACTTGGTTAAATTGTGTTCGGATGTGCTAAATGACTGCATATAGCCTATCAATGAGTTTGGATAGAGTAACTAAGTCACCTTGTAATAAGTTTTATATAAATCCCTTAAAACTTTGTGTACAAAGTCCAGAACTAAATCTAGAGAAGAGTGTGTTCTGGTGACAGAAATACCATATGAAACAAGTTTTTCTGTATGTTATTAAAGTGGACATTCACAAAAATCTTCAAGGCATGATCTGCATTCCGGATTAGCAGATAATTGTAGTTCATGAAGGTGATATTTCAGACCATAATGACCTGTAATGAAAACCGTTAGCAGCCTTAAATTACATTTTAAGAATTTACAGATGTTTTTGTAAAAGTACGGTGTTATCAGTGGGAAGTCTTTCCAGTACTCTAGCCGAATATGATTTTCCCTTTTCTTGAGAATTTGTTTTGTAAAAATAAGTCCAACGTCAATTAATTTGATTTGAGACATTATATGTATGCTCATTACCAAATATAAAAGTATCTCTCCCATTTAAAATCATTTCAAATTGACTTCTCGTCAGTATGAGAAGCAGAGATAGACTAACACAAAATTAAGATTGCGTTTCTATCTCAATTAAATCGGTCTCTTAAGGACCATTATCTAAGACTTTTTTGAATTAAATGTTAAAAGTTCTGAAGACATTCACTGCTAGATTTAGCAATAGCAGACTCATTAAGGCGGGACACAAAATTGTTGCCACATACAACATGTAGAGCAAAGTAAAACAGAATAGACCATCTGAAATGTTATAGTATTTCTTATAGTATATAGTATTATAGCTTATAGTATTTCGCAGCTACTATGATAACAATTGAATGTAGAAATTGTTGTTTGTGTGCTTAAAGTCCACTTGAACTGAAATAATGGCTCGTTGTATTATCACAGATTCTTCATATGCAGACCAGAAGAATTTTCAAAAGCACCGAAATGAATAGCATACGTACAAAGCCAAAAACTTGAAAACTTGATAAGTCTATAAATATGGCCACGTTCTTAATTATGCCAGATAACAGTTCTGTTAGGTCGGTAAGAAAGTGGACTCTAAAAAATTTTAAACTTTTACGATTAAAAGATGGAAAATAAGCTAACAAGAGATAGAGTACAATTTACTTCTCGTCCGTAGAATCACAACCTCGACAAAAGTCATTACACATCAGACCCAGTCTCAAAGCATGACTTTCCAGTTCGCAGTGACTCGCAGTGATACCATGGAGTTAAGCAGATAAGTTGAAAGTTAAATAAAATATAAATAGTATTAGTCCTTACACTCAATTCTCTACGATTGTCTGTTGGGTGTGCAGGTATTTATTATTTTGCTAGCTGCACGTACCAGGAACTCTCCACACTTACAACTCCTCATAGTTAATTTTGTTCGGCTCTCATGGCACAGTTACTGATACTTAGCAGTTGCATGACTTTGTTTTTGTTGTCTTATTGTTTTGTTATTGTTTTGTTATTGTTTTGTTATTGTTTTGATATGTTTCTGACATAATGCATCAGTTTTAATACAAATTAAAATTTTTGGTATGCAACTCATGCGAATATTGTATCTGAAGCTTCACAAATTGTAAGTTGTCTTGTATTATCCACTTTGTCAGTTTTGTGTTTTGTGTATTGTGGTTGTTATTGTTATTGATGTTGTTTTTGTTGTTGTTGTTGTTACTATTATTGTAGTTATTTTCAATG